AGGTGTGAGCTGATCAGACGATGACCAACAGGTGAGAACCAGTCAAAGAATGACCAACAGGTGAGAACCAGTCAGACGATGACTAACAGGTGAGCGCCGATCAGACGATGACCAACAGGTGAGAATCAGTCAAACGATGACCAACAGGTGAGAACCAGTCAAACGATGACCAACAGGTGAGAGCCAATCAGACGATGACCAACAGGTGAGAACCAATCATTAGACAGTAGGTGCGATAACAAACACGAAGGAGCCGAACAAAACTATCAGGAAGTAGAATAAAACAAAAGACTTAAACGGTCTAAAAGGAAACGTAAAGATTTAATGTTTTTACATTTTGTTTGTTAATCTAAGATGTTTGGAATAAACCCATGATGAACATTAAAGGTTGTTTTCCTCTCAGGAACTCCTCACCGAGTTTATTTGTTCTGTTCCTGCAGAGGTCAGAGCTGCTGCACCCTGCACCTGTAGTCACCTGGATCCTCAGAGACTCCGCCCACAATCCTCCTCCTCCATGAACAGATTCTCCCTCAGAGCGGAGTCTGTATTGCAGCGGCCAGTCGGGGACAGAGCTGCTGTTCTTCACTTGGTGTCTTCAGACCTGCAGGTTTCTCTCTCCAGAGGTAAGACTGAACCTTCTCTCTGCTGGATCCAACACCCAACTCTGATTTCTCCGGTTTGGTTCTGCAGACATGAGCTGTGGCCCGTTGGTCCGACAGATGATGGTTCTGTTCAACGTACTGGTTTCTGTGAGTCCATTTCTTCTGCCCTCCTGTTTCACTGCAAGAGGAGCAGGAGGAGGCGTGATGACTTCCTGTCACTCAGTGAGATGTTTCAGAAACAGAGGCTCCTCCTCCTGCTTCTCCTGCTCCATCTTCTTTTATTGCTCTCCTCATGAACTTAAAACACTCTGATCACCTCCTTGCTGACGTTCACCTCCCTATGATTACCTCCCTTCAGACCTCCCTTCTGATGTTCACCTCCCTCTTGACGATCACCTCCTTTCTGACCAGTAAACCCAGAACTTTACTTTTTAGCTCAGCTCCTTCACCATGACAGACCGGATCAACGTCTTCATTACTGCAAACAAAGCAGTAAATGAAATCCTCTGGTCCATCTCCTGCTCAGGAACCAAGACTTCCAGGTACTGACCGAAGGACAGGACCACAGAGTCCTGCAGGAGACGCCCCGTTATGAAAACTGAAGCCTCCAGTTCAGGATTTATAAAGTTCCCCAGACCAGACCAGATCAGATCAGACCGGACCGAAACCGACAGAAGTTCGGTTTCTTCATTCTGAACTCAGCCTGACTGACTCAGACCCACCTGGACCACAGAAACACGCCTCGACTCTTTCAGACGGAGGTCCACCTGTTCCCTCTGGTGAATGAATGTGGTTCATGTTCTGGTTTTTCTGGGTCCTCCTGCAGCTCGGCGGTCTGCTCCTGCTGGCTGTGGGGTTCTGGGTGAGCGTGGGCGGCACCTCCTTCCTGCACCTCCTGGGTCCGTTCTCCACGCAGATCCAGCTGTTCATCAACGTGGGCTTCTTCTGCGTCTCTGTCGGGGTCATCCTGGTTCTGGTGGGACTCCTGGGCAGCTGTGGGGCCCGGAAGGAGAGCAAGTGTCTGCTGATCAGTGTGAGTTCTGGCGCACGGCGGGAACACGAGGCGGCAGGAAGACAACCGGACAGGAAGTCGTAACTCCGTCGTGTTTACGTAGTTTCTCCTTCAACCCGACTTAAATAACAGATTAATCATCTTTTATTCATGTTGTATTCAGGTTTAAATGTCAGAACTTCAAAGAGTCTCTGGTTCCCATTAAAGCTGCAGCAAACAGGTTCGTTAGCACAACGACAAGGTGGAGAGACATCAGCAATGACCTCAGAGAAGCAGCTGTTGATGTCCCATGATCTGTGAAGGGTCAAAGGTCATTTTCAGATTATCTGGAGTCCATCGTGCTGAAGATTCTTCACACATGGAAAATATTTCAAACAGCTGATTCACCCTGAAGGTCAGACTGTGCAGCGACTCTACAGGCCTCAGTCAGCAGGTCAAAGGTCAAAGGTCATAGTCTCTTCTTTCTAAAAACAACATGGCAAAAAGTTTCATCTGAAGGAACCACCAGACTTCTGGACCAGAACCAGACGTTTACCCAGAATGCACTGCAGCAAACAGCTGTCAGCACGGTGGTGGAGGCTGATGGTTCTGCTCCTGTCAGTCACCGAGTGGACCAGAACTCCTCTGGAGACCAAAGGTTCTGGAGTCCATCAGTCCAACAGCTGATGCTTGGACCAAACTGGGTCCAACAGAACCATGATCCAAGCAGCTGCTGAAAGACCTGAGAAGATCTGGTGCTGATCAGTACCAGGCTTCAGTTCCACAAAAACCCAGTCCATCAGAACCTGGTTCTCCATCTGGACCTCTGACTGCTGGGAGCAGAACATCTGACACAGAGACGGACTTCACTAACAGCCAAACTTCCCCACTGAGCAGTAAAACCCGTCCAGAACTGAACCTGGACTTTCAGAATAAAAGTCTGGCCTGTTATAAAGGAAGCAGGAAGTTTTGGACCGAAGTTCTGATTCGTGTTCTTCCTCCTCGCTGCAGCTCTCCTCCGTGCTCCTCATCATCTTCATGGCTGAAGCTGCAGCTGGACTCGTGGTTTTCTCCTACGCTTCGTTCGTAAGTCCCTCTGTTCTTCACCCGGTCCACAGGTTGGGTTCGAGTCGGAACCGACTGCTGAAGCTTCACACGTGTTCTGGGTCCGTTTAGAGCCTCTGCTGTCGGAGGAGGTTCTGCTCTGGAAGGACCCGACATCCATCTGGTTTTACAGAACCGGTCCTTTGGGACCAACTTTAGCCTCTGGGTGTCAAACCGGGTCCGACCATTTCTTCGTGTTGGACTTGTGTTCAGACCAGTTTCAGAGCTCAGCTGGGTCTAAGAGTGTCGTTGGGTCAGAACCGGTTGGTGATGGAGGACTCTTGTTTTCTTCAGGCTGAGGAGATCCTGGAAGCGTGGGCGACTCAGGCGCTGCAGAACGATTACGGCAGAGACCCCGAGGTCACGCAGATCTGGAACTCCACCATGACCGAGGTACGAGGAGTCCTGCAGATCCCTACCAAACTAGGCCCAGTTGGTTCTGAGTCCATCCCTTGAGTTAGGAGGCTGAAGGGCTCAGGGGTCAAAGGTCAGATTTAGGCTCAGGAGGAAGAAACCAAAGTGTCTCCAAACTTCACGTCTTCTGGTTTCCTAGGAGACAAAAGCTGTTTGAACCCTCCAGCTGCCCTTGGGTCAAGGTGGTCCACAGGGCCTCTGTTAGACCTGTGGGTCACTTTGACCCAAGGCCAACTGGAGGGTTCAAAGATTCCTGACAGGAAGTGACGTTTTCCTTCAAGCACTTGAAACTTCGCCCACAGTTCAGCTGCTGCGGTTTCTTCGGCTACGGCGACTTCTTCGGCTCCTGGTTCCAGGATGAGACCCAAGGCGAGCTGCCGCCCAGCTGCTGCTGGACCCACATCGCCCACTGCAGGCCAGAGGAGGCGGAGCTCTCGCCAGTGCAGGTCTGTCAGCCCTCAGAGACGACTCTCAGCTACTACCACTTCAGATTTTAGCTCCGTAGCTGTGGCAGCCATCTTGAATCAGTTGCAGCTGCTCCACTGGATATTTTGCTGACATGTTTTGAGTTTAGTGGCTGAACTTGTCTGACCCGGTCTCATCAGGGCTGCTCCGGACCTGTCCTGAAGCTCCTCAGAGACCAGAGCCACGTCGTCGGAGGCGTCGCAGCTGGAGTCGCAGCGCTGGAGGTAAAACCAGCTAAAATGTCTCCTTCAGTTTGGAGCCTCAGCTGTAATCTGTTGGTTCTAATCTGTAATCTGTGGTCAGGTTGCAGGTGTGATGCTGTGCGTGTACCTGTACACTCACCTGGACAAGGAGCAGCCGAAGACTCCTCTGGAGGAAAACTGAATCAGCTTTTATCAGAAGTTTCTTAAAAACCTTTTCTGTAAACTGAAAACATTTAAATTTGAATATTTAACTCTTTGTTGGAGCGGAGGCGGAGCTTTGTAGTGGATGAAGTTTAATTTTCTTTAATCTGTCTTCTTATCCAAACTTTGACCTTATTTAAAACGGTATTTTTAATGTTTAAAGCTGTAAAAATATTTTCCCCTGGATCATAAACAACAGTTCTCCAGTCTGATCTGGACCCAGAAGGTCCAGGAAGCACCACCTGAGATCTCCATCCACTTCCTGTTTCCTGAGCGCCGCCGCCTGGCTCAAAGATCTGCGCCTGGTTTCACCGAGGAGCAAATAAAAACCCAACATCCGTCAAATCAAAGTGTTTTATTCAGTCTGAGGAGAACACGTGACTGACACGCTCCGTCATGTGACCAACACGCTCCGTCATGTGATTGACACGCTCTGTCATGTGACCAACACGCTCCGTCATGTGATTGACACGCTCCGTCACGTGTTCTGATCTGTCCAAACGCGTTAGTTTTCATCTTCGCGTTTCAACGTTAAAGCTGAGGCGTCAAAATAAAAGATTAACAGAATAAAGTTGAGACAAAACCTGAAGTCAAACAGGAAGTGTGTGTTCCAGACTCTTATTGTGAAGGACTGAAACAAGGAGTTAATCCTGTTAATCTACATTTTATCTTTAATTCTGACTTTAAACAAGAATAAAATCATCTTTTGTCGTTTTAAAAAGCTCAGAAAGTTTAACGTCTCTTTTCTAAACAGGAAACAAATGTTTGGAACTTCCTGTTTGCCAGACTGGACTCAACATTCTGTTCAGATTGAACCCCTGAGTGTTTGTGGTTTTTACAGTTTACTCCGAGAAACGGTTTTATTTTTTATTTCAAATAAAATGAGAGCTGAGCTACAAACCACGTCCAGCTTCCTGTTTGGTAAAAACTTCTGTTAAAAAGTGACGTTTGTGGTTCAGGAACTCTCAGGCGGCTCGGACGTTTCATCTAAAAAGGTTTTTATCACAAAAATAAAATTGTTTGTTTCCGGAGTTTATTGACATCGTTTGTTGTTTGTCATCGACTCCTGAAGATAAACGACCTGAAATAAACAAAAAGTGTAAAAGCTAATAAATACATTCAAACACTGGACGTTAAAAACACAAACTCTCCAAACCGAGGGGTTCCGAGTCCCCGCGGGACCGGCCCAAACTGGTTTTAGTGCCTCAGCGGTCCGGACCATCGGGACCAGGCTACGGTCTGGAGTCTCTAAAGGGATAAAGACTCTGTTTCAGGAGTCAGTCTGTTCCCTGGATCATCAGCTCAGCTGTTGGGGGTCCAGGTGGAGGTCTGAAGGTCCAGACGAAGGTCTGGAGGTCCAGGTGGAGGTCTACAGGGGCTCCACTGGGGCCCCCTCTTCTTTGGGGGGCGGCTCTAAGTGGATGGCTGCAACAGTCGCTGGTTTCTTCACACTGAGTGGAAACAGAGAAGAAGACGTGAACCACTTCCTGTCGGGCAGAGCGGGTCGGGTCACTGAGCCCGGAGGATTTCCATCCTCCTGCAGGTCTTTGGTCCGGTTCCTGCCCTCAGCATGCAAACTGGTTCCTGTTTAACCAAACCAGCAGAACCACTAGTCTCCTTCATGCCCTGACGACCTTCACTGGATCAGTTACGGCTCCGTGGTCCAGTTTGAGCTCATCAGAACCTTCTGGGTGAAACTCACTTCAGTCAGAACAGCGGTGCTGCTTTTTGATTTTACTCATTTTAAACATTGTCCTTTTTTAAACACCTGCTCTTCACTTCTCTCACGTTGTCTGGTTCATAGTTTTTATCACATTGCACCCCCCAAAGCACTCTGGCGCCCCCTGGGGGGGGGGGGGGCACACTTTGAAAAGCTGATTTAGAGATTAGCTCTGGAGTGGCGGCATTATGTTATGATTAATTAATTATTATTAATATATTATGTTATATTTAGTTTATTATTATTAATATATTATGTTATATTTAGTTAATTATTATTATTAATCATGTTATATTTAGTTAATCATTATTAATAATTATGTTATATTTAGTTAATTATTATTATTAATTATGTTATATTTAGTTAATCATTATTATTAATTATGTTATATTTAGTGAATCATTATTACTAATTAT